GGCGGTGTCTGGGTCAACGCCGCTTGCCTCCTCCGTGTCACGAGGCGGCCAGACGTCACCGCGGCCAGCGCGTGATGGACACGAGCCCCTGACCCGGTCCCCAACACAAGCGGCAACAGATAAACTCTCGGCCTGACCCTGCCCCTGAGCCGAAACTCGACAATAACCCGAGACTCGCCCTTTCCCAAGTATTGACACCGGCTGTGGCAGTAGCACGGGCCCTAGTCCTGACCCTGGTTCTCATCCTGTGCTCAACGCTCGCCATGGTTCTGACCCTGAACTAGTCCTCACTGTAGCCCCAACACTCGCGCCAACACTGGCCCATCCACAGACGTGACACGAGAGAGAGATGGAGTGTGTGCACAGAGGCGCCCGTGTGCACACGTGGGAGAAAAACCCGGGCGTGCGACGGGGAAACACTCGATCCCACACAGACAAAACAGATGGACACAAGTGCTATGAAGGCAACCACGGCGCACAAGGGGGAGGGGGTGGTGTGGCCAGCACCACGCCCGGACGCCTTTGTCTCCCCAGTGCTTACACACCGATGGAAGGCCCTACCGAGATCGAACGGTTCAGATCATCTCCACCGATGATGGCCGAAGCCGGGATTCGAACTCGGGTCGCCGGGTTCGTAACGCAGCACGCTCACCACTGTGTCGCCACCGCTTCCACCCCCCCCCCCCCAGACACACGCGGCGTGTGCGCGTCACCTTCACGGCTCATAAGCCGGGCCCCCCAGCATCGTTCTCCCCCCCCCCCCCCCCCCACATGGCCAACCCCACCCCCCCCCCCTCTGCAGTACCCACTAAATCCTGGTGATTGCGGTTCAGCAGCAGAGCAGCCGCGTCAGAGGAGTGGGAATGCGTCCATGAGAGGCGGCACGTGGTGTGTTAACGGCGTGGGGGACAGGGGGAGGGAGGGATGGAGGGAGGGAGGGAGAGAGAGAGGGAGGGAGGGATGGGGGGAGGGAGGGATGGGGGGTGGAGGGAGGGATGGAGGGAGGAAGATGGATACGAGGGGGGAGAAAGAGAGAAGAGGTAGGAGGAGAGTGGGGATTAGAGGCAAGAAGATGAGGGGGGCAATAGGGGGGGGGAGGGTAATAAAACGAAATAAAAGAGGTGGAGATGAGAGGAAGAGAGGAAGGGCGGAGAGAAGTGACGCGGGGGGAGGGGGAGGGAGATGGACGAGAGAGGAAAGATACGTCTCTCTGCACCTCTGCTCTGCGCCATCACCACGTGGACGGAATCTTAAGAGCGGCGTTGCGTTAAGCACAAGGGTAGCGGCAGCAGCAGCAGCGGCAGCAGCCTGCAAATGAGAAAGTGCGACACTGGGAGAGTGACACTGAGAGAGTGACACTGAGAGTGTGACACTGAGAGTGACACTGAGAGTGTGACACTGAGAGTGTGACACTGAGAGTGTGACACTGAGTGACACTGAGAGAGTGACACTGGGAGAGTGACACTGAGTGACACTGAGAGTGTGACACTGAGAGTATGACACTGAGAGTGTGACACTGAGTGACACTGAGAGTGTGACACTGAGAGAGTGACACTGAGAAAGTGACACTGAGTGACACTGTGAGTGTGACACTGAGAGTGTGACACTGAGTGATACTGAGAGAGTGACACTGAGAGAGTGACACTGAGAGTGTGACACTGAGAGTGTGACACTGAGTGACACTGAGAGAGTGACACTGAGAGAGTGACACTGAGAGAGTGACACTGAGTGACACTGAGAGTGTGACACTGAGAGTGTGACACTGAGAGTGTGACACTGAGTGACACTGAGTGACACTGAGAGAGTGACACTGAGTGACACTGAGTGACACTGAGTGACACTGAGTGACACTGAGTGACACTGAGTGACACTGAGAGTGTGACACTGAGTGACACTGAGTGACACTGAGAGACACTGAGTGACACTGAGTGACACTGAGTGACACTGAGAGTGTGACACTGAGTGACACTGAGTGACACTGAGAGAGTGACACTGAGACGCGAGTGTGCACAGGTGTGAGAATACCCTGGCGTGCGAGGGTGAAACACTCTACCCCACACAGACAAAACAGACGGACTCCGAGTTGTTGATGTGCAGCCTTATCCTGGCGAGCCAGAGTACTGCGGCCCCCTCGATGCTCACGGGGGGGGGGGGGGGGGGTATTCCACAACCCATCTGTGCGGTGACCCACCGACCCTCGCTGCTGCCACCACAGCACTGGATCGCACTGACACGTGCAGCAGCGTAGCCACCACCGCCACACGGGGCCAGCGCTTGGCCCAACCAGACAGAGGCAGCCGCGCAGTGACTCGGCACCAACAATTGCCCAAGCTCCGACGTCCTCTACATACGAAGATGTTGTAGGCCAACTCAAAGAGCGTCTCCACGTGGGAGGAGCCGGAGTCACGTGTGGCATGCCCACCCACCCACCCCCACCAGCGGCTCCAAGAGGAGTCGGGCACCTTCCCTGTAGTGGATCGTCCTCCCGGCTCTGATGGATGCGCGCTCCTAATTCAATTGCCCCATTCATGAGCGAGGCATTAATGATGCACGGCTTGGCGCTGCGTCGGAGCCCCGCAGTCACCGCACTGTAGCGTTCTCGTTCTGATAAAGCCGTGACGTCCCGTGCCCTGTGACAAGAGCGTTGGACTCGCGACTTTAAAGTTTGACGTTTCGCTCCGCGGGACAGCCCAGAACAGTCGGCGCCATTGCGGGGTCGGGGTAGCCTAGAGGGATCGCCCCGGGATTGGGGGTTGGGGGTTGGGGGTTTGGGGGTTAGGTGGTGAGGGTTTGGGGGTTAGGGTTTGGGGGTTAGGGTTTGGGGGTTAGGGTTTGGGGGTTAGGGTTTGGGGGTGAGGGTTTGGGGGTTAGGGTTTGGGGGTTAGGGTTTGGGGGCTAGGGTTTGGGGGTTAGGGTTTGGGGGTTAGGGTTAGGGGGTGAGGAGTTGGGGGTGAGGGTTTGGGGATTAGGGGGTGAGGGTTTGGGGGTTAGGGGGTGAGGGTTTGGGGGTTAGGGTTTGGGGGTTAGGGTTTGGGGGTTAGGGTTTGGGGGTTAGGGTTAGGGGGTGAGGAGTTGGGGGTGAGGGTTTGGGGGTTAGGGTTTGGGGGTTAGGGTTTGGGGGTTAGGGTTAGGGGGTGAGGAGTTGGGGGTGAGGGTTTGGGGGTTAGGGGGGCTCTGGAGTTCCATTTTTTTATTTTTATGTTTATTTGTGTTTTCTCTGTCAACTCAAAAGAGGCCCACCCCCGTTAAGATCCAAACATCGGGGGGGGGGGGGTCAAAGGGTCAAAGGACCGGACAGGCAGGGCGCCGCTATCCTTGGTCTCCGCCATGGGAATGTGGAATGTGCCTCACTGGCTCAGGGCCACCAGAGACGCTGAGCGCAGAGCCCCGAGCGAGCTGGGGGAGCCACGAGTCTCGAGGCTCCTCGGGAGTCCACGGCGACCGCACAGAGACAGCTGCCACTTGCAGGTGGGGGTGGGGGTGGGGGGTGGGGGGGGAGGAGGTTCCCCGTGTAAATGTGTTGAGATGACGACGTGAGATGCAACGCGCTTCGGAGACGCCCCGGCGAATTGGAGGCATCTTTATCAATCTCAAATCATGATCGTCAATCATGAACTTAACAAGCAACGCCCACGTCCATTGGACGTGAGCCTCCCGCCAGCCAGCCAGCCAGCCATCAACCCCTTGTATGTAGAAGTATCATATGTAACGTAACATACGACGTGACCGGCGTGACTGGCGCTTCCCAGCAGCAGCCGGGGCTGGGATCAGCACCAGGGACAGCGCCCGGCTTGGGTTTCGCCTCCACCTGGCTTGGGTTTCAAGAGGCGTCTCGCATCCCCCTCGTGATGGCGCAGCGAGAGGTATAAATAGGGCAGATCCATTGCCGCGGGTGGTGGCGGTGGAGGGGAGGGGGTGCGGGGTTAAGGGTGGGGGTTTGGAGGGGGCGAGGGGGGATCCGTGAGTGAGTGTGGGGCTGGAATGGAATGAAATTGGAATCGCGTGGGAAAGTAATCGGCTGTTGGTCGGCCCTGCCAGCGAGCCAGCCGGCCATTCAGTCACCGATCTCGCCGGTCACCCATCTTCCGCCACCTCCTCCTCCTCCCATCTGTCTCTCCGGCACAGATGGCTCGCTAGCTATGTAGCGGCCCAGCTAGCTCGGCCAGCCAGCCAGCCGGCCATTCGGCTATTCAGGCAGCCAATGTTGGCGATGCAGCAACAAAGCCAGCCAGTCATCTCTGCCAGCCACGCTCGTCAGATAACAAACAAGCTAGTCCCCGTGCCTCGGATCAACACGGGTGGCTATGTACGGTGCAAAAAAAGTTCAGCATACATACTAGGTCAGCGAGTCATATAGCCAGCCAGCCAGTCATATAGCCAGACAGCCATTCAGGCAGCCAGCCAGCTCACGAGGCATAAACTAGAGTACATGGCCGGACTGCCTGCCCGCTGCTTCCGATGCAGTGGAGAGAGATGGCGAATCGGCGAGTCAACAGAGAGAGATACTTTAAGAGTCCACGGGGCTGCATGGAGTGCGGTTTCAGCCATCGCGTGCAGCAGCACTCGCACGCATAACGCAGTGATGACTGACACTGCGACACTGCGAGGGGAGGGTGGGGGGTCACACCTTGCCAGCAGAGAGTACTTCTCGCGGCGTTGCAATGTCCAACTTTTTTTGAATTCTCGAAATCCTTGCTGGAGACGAGCAACTCGCTAACACGAGACAGAATGGGTGCAGATGCCTGCAGCGAGATGAGAGAAATGCAGAAATAACGAGACATGTCACGAGGAGCGAGAGAGGGGGGGGGGGGGGTGCAGAGGAGTTGCAGGCGAGGGAGAGGAGTTGCCTGGGGGGGGGGGGGGGGTGCGCGCTGGGTCGCGGTTGCCGCCTCGAGGGTCGTGGCGCGGAGTCGCTCTCCGCTCCCACGTGGTCCTCATCTCACCTGACCTACCCCCCTTCCACCCCCTGCCACCACCTCCTCCACCACCCCTACCACTGCCTCCTCACCCCAACCCGCCACCTCCTCCACTGCCCCAACCACTTCCTGCGCGTGCACGCTGCGTAGTCATGATCACGAGTGACATCGAGCTCGAGGGTGTTTCCCAATCCACATGATTCGGGACCACCCCACGGATCGTCTTCACTCGTCCCCACGTGACGTGGTGACTGCCGGATAACACGAACGAGCTCTCTGCACGTGACACACGTGACACACGTGACACACGTGCGTAACCTCCCGTATAGCTTCATCAGACTATTGGAGGAGATGACATTAGCAGCACCCAAGAAGGCCCCGTACGGCACACGAGGGGGTGGATGGCCAGCACCACGCACGGCCACGTTTGTCTCCCATTGCTGATGTTTACACACCACATCAATGTACTAATTTAAGGCTGAGTCGACCTTCGAGAAGCCCAGGTCCGGTTCAGATACGCGCCACTTATACGAGTCGTGAGTCGGGAATCGTACCTCTGGTCTCTGCCGGGTTCGTAGGGGTTAGTGCGTTAACCACTGCGCCACCGCTCCCCACACGTGTACATGCGCGCGTGCACACCGGGCGTCTCCTCCGTCTTCATTTCAACCGGGGCACCCCAAGTCACGTGGGACGCGTCCACCATCGTCACCATCGTCACCATGGTCACCATGGTCACCATGGTAAGGCATTACCTTTAATTGATAAGCTGGGTGGCGCAGCCTGGCTCCAGGGAATCAATCCAGGAGCTGCGGTCAACATGCGTTCTATTTACGGGAGAAAGCTTTATCGCTCTCGCCAATCCTAAGTTTGTCCCGTGAAACAGATCTCAGGCCACTCCCCGTCGCCAGCCCATGACCCGCTAGGTTCGGATTCGCCTCCGACGCTCGGTCAACAAACGGCGCGGAGCTGAGACCGCTCTCATCTCGATCCCGCCCGGGCGTCGCGATCGAGCCAGGGCAGAACATTCCACATTCCCGGCCGAGGCTGTGAAACTCATCCACCCGCCTGGTGGAAGAGGAAAGGCGATAGAGGTGAGCGGGCGGTGTGGATCCGAGTTCACCGCTTTCCCACCGCTTACTCACCACTCTCTCAACAATCATTTTATTACTCACTCGCCACTCATTCACATCTCGCCATCGACCCGTCAGTGTGCCCATCACCTCGCCGTGTGCCCATCATCTCGCCGTGTGCCCCAGCGGTCGAGCGATGGAGGCGGAGGAGGAGGACTCGGAGCGAGCGCCGTGCACCGCGCGCCTCCTCGCGCACCGCGTGCCCCTCGTTCGCGCCCTGGCCGCTGGGCTGCTGCCCCCCGTGCTCGATTCGCTGCTCGGGGCGCGCGCGATCTCCTGGGAGGACTACGAGCGCGTCCGCTCCCACGCCGTGCGCCACGACCGCGCGCGGCAGCTCCTCGACATCGCGACGTGCCGCGGGGAACGCACCGCACGCGCGCTCTGGGGGCAACTCGAGGAGACCGTGGCCGCGAGGTGGGACTGGCCCGAAGACCCCGACGGAGGGGGCCCCGGAGTCGAGGGTGCGGCCGGCGACGCGAGCCAGGGGGGTCTACCTCGCGGCACCCGCGAGCTCGCGCTGGAGCTCGAGCCCCGTCGCGCGTTCCCCGCTCAACCCCGAGGGTGCGGGGTTTGCGTCGCGCAGAGCCGCGGATTTCCGGAGGATGTGCTCGACGGAGCCGTGCCGCTGGACGGGAGGTCGGAGCCGCGGCGCCTCTCGGCGGACGGAGCGGCGCGAGGCGCTGGCCCGAGTGGCCGGGAATCCGCGGCGTCGCGGCGAGCTGGCGGCGGTGGTGGACGCGCACCCGGCGCTGCGGAGCGCCTCTCGCTCCCCGCACCTCTGCGCCGTGCTCTGCCAACTGTGGAGGGACCCCCGAGTGGGGGAGCGCGGCCCTCCCGGCCTCACCGAGGTGTTCGCGCACCTCTTCGGCGCGCTCGGCCTCGGCGGCCGCGGCGGGGCCGAGGTGATGGAGATGGCGCGGGCCGCGTGGAGCGGGGGGTCGCCGACGGCTTGCGGCCGCTGCGGCTCCGAGGGAGTCCTCGTCCCGCTGCCGCAGCCTCTCCGCGGGGTCCTGCGCCAGTTCCTGGTGGCTCTTCACGCGGTGGCGCTCGGGGCCCGCGGAGACCTTCAGGCGGCCCTGGAGGCGGCGTTGGAGCGGCCCCTGGGACCGCGCTGGGAGAGAGAGGAGCGCAGGATTCGGAGCGACGGCAGTAGCAGCAGTAGCAGCAGCAGCAGTAGTAGCAGCAGTAGCAGCAGCAGCAGTAGCAGCAAGCGTAGTAGCAGCAGTTTTAGCGAGAGCGGTCATGCTCGTGCCAGTGGCAACCTCACTGAGCTGTTCGTGTTTGGGCTGTTCTCGCCCCAACTTCGCCCCTTCCTGCGACGCGTGGGATTGGAAGAGCTGGGGAATGGAGACGTGGGGTGGGGAGACGTGGGGTGGGGAGATCTGGGTTGGGAAGACTTGGGATTGGGAGAACTTGGCATGCGTGAGACGGGACTTGGACGTTTCGGATTTGGAAACAGAGGGAAGGGAAACGCGAAGGTGGACATCCACACACGACCTCTAAGCGGCTCTTGCTTTGTGGACGAAGACCTTTGCAGTGACACTGATCCTGCCCCTGACGAGGACGCCGATGAGGAGTGCAACGGTGACGACGGCGATTCTAGCAGCGATACCGCCGCCGAGAAAGATGAAGATGACACGGACTGCTGCGGCGGCGCGATTGCCGCTGCCGATGATGTTCACGACGACGACGACGATGACGACGACGACGACGACGTGCAAGAGGGGGTCCGGGGGATGCTGTGGGGGTGGCTGTCCCGTCGCTGGCTGCACGGCGGCTCTCCGGCCGGCGCCGTGTGGGCCGCGCGCTGCGCCAGGGAGCTCGGCTGTCCGCGCGTCACGCGGCGCCTCGCGGCGTCTCTCCGCGGCGGCCTCGACGTGGCCGGGCTGGCGCTCAGCGCCGACGAGTGCTGGGCGCTGTCCGCCGCCGCCCTACGCGCCGGAGCGCCCTGCCGCCTCCAGCTCCGCGACTGCCGCGTGGGACCCGGCGGGGCGCGCGCGCTGGCAGCCGGCGTGGCGATGATCCACAGCCTCGAGTGAGGCCCGTGTCGCGTCTCTCTGTCTCCACGTGTCTCTCTCTCTCTCTCTCCCGTGGTCTTGACTCGAGGTCCGTGCCGCACGCTTCTGTCCGTCTCACCCGGGTCTCTGTGCCATAGTCTATGCGCTGTGAATTGACGCGCTCTGTGCCATCTCCCTGGCCCGTGGCCTCGTGACTGTCTTCACACCGTCTGTGCCGTTTGTCGCATTGCCTCGGTCTCCCCGATGTGTCCGTCTCAAACTCGCCTGTCTGTGCCGTTTGTCGCATTGCCTCGGTCTCCCCGATGTGTCCGTCTCAAGCTCGCATGTCTGTGCCGCGTCTGGGCCGTCGCTTGGCGAGGATGCCACTGTGGTGCCACCCTCGTGCCTTGTGGCCGCGTGGAGAGCGACGCGCTCACAGGGCCTCACAGTCCGTGCTGCTGCTCCCCCCCCCCCCCCCCCGTGTTTGTCGCCAGGATGTTTGGGAACGGGATCCGAGACGAAGGGGCGAGGTGTCTCGCTCGGGCGCTGAGAGGCCAATCTGCCTTGCGAGTGCTCGAGTAAGTCACCACCACCGCCGCCGCCACCACAAACAACCACCAACTCAACAACCGCCACCGTACCAACCGTAAATAGCACAACCACCGCAACATCACAACCACTCAATACATACGCAGCCACTCAGTCACCACCACCACAGTCCACATACTATACATGCACGCACACTCACTCACACAAAGACAAAGATCACCCGTATAGCCTTGACAGACTCTTGGGGCAAGTGCTGTGAGCGAGCACCTATGAAGGTCGGGACGGCACACGAGGGGGTGGGTGGCCAGCCCCACGCCCGGCCGTCTTTGTCTCCCCAGTGGCGATGTGCACGCACCGCACCGAGTACCCATTTGAGGCTCAGTCGACCTAGGAGGAAGAGGCCCAGGACCGGTTCTCATAATTGCCACTGATTCACGGTAGCACGGCCACTAGCAAACATCAGGGCCATCTGCAAAATAATCCTCCGTGACAAGTCACGACAAGTACGATCACCCCCCTCCCCCTCCTCCCTCCTCCCCCCACGGTCTCCAGCCTGGGCTGGAACTTCATCACGGACGTGGGCGCCCAGCACCTGGCGGAAGCCCTGGAGAGGAACTCGACACTCGCCTGTCTCAAGTGCGTCTCACCTTCTACTCGACACACTGTGTGTTTACACTGTGTGTTTACATATACACTGCGTGTTTACACGTACAGAGACAAACACACACCACACGGGAGAGAGAGAGAAGCCCCGTGTAGCCTCCACAGGTTGTTGGGGCAAGTGTTGTTAACAGAGCACCGTTTTAAACGGGACGCACGCACCGCATTTGACCGCGTAAAGTGTCCAAGGCTCTCGCCGCTGGACGGTGGACACGAGACGGAGCCAGCGAGCGCCACGAGTTGCCCGACCGCCGATTTGGGGACGCACCGCCGAGATATCTCAGCGTGGACACGCGCGCCCCCCCTCGTCCGTTGTCAGCATCGCTGCTCTGCCCTCCGTTGGCGGCGCATCCACGGGGCAATGTTCAACCATGCCCCCCACTCAATGCCCAAACATGCCCCCCACTCAATACCCAACCATGCCCCCCACTCAATGCCCAAACATGCCCCCCACTCAATGCTCAACCATGCCCCCCACTCAATGCCCAACCATGCCCCCCACTCAATACCCAACCATGCCCCCCACTCAATGCCCAACCATGCCCCCCACTCAATGCCCAGCCATGCCCCACACTCAATGCCCAGCCATGCCCCCACACTCAATGCTCAACCATGCCCCCCACTCAATGCCCAACCATGCCCCACACTCAATGCTCAACTATGCCCCCCACTCAATGCCCAACCATGCCCCCCACTCAATGCCCAACCATGCCCCCCACTCAATGCCCAGCCATGCCCCACACTCAATGCTCAACTATGCCCCCCACTCAATGCCCAACCATGCCCCACACTCGCCCCCTTACCCCAGGCTCTGGAAAAACTGCATCAAGGACGCGGGTGTGGAGCGCCTGGTCGATGCCCTGGGATCGAACCGTGGCTTGCAGGAGCTGAAGTGAGTGCGCCCCCTCCTCACACAACCACAAACAAAGATCTCCCGTGTAGCCTTGAACAGGCTGTTGGGTCAAGTGCTGTTAACGAGTAGCACCTATGAAGGCCGGCACGGCGCACGAGGGGGTGGGTGGGTGGCCAGCACCACACCCGACCGCCTTTGTCTCCCCAGTGGCGATGTTTACACACCGCACCAGGTACTCGTATAGCAAGGCTGAGTCGACCTAGCAGAGGCCCATCACCGATAGTGAGCCGTGAGCGGGAGTCGAACTCGGGTCGCCGGGTCCATAGCGCGGTGATGCTCTCACCACTACACCGCCCCCCCCCCCGCGTCTCTCTCCCCAGCCTCTACGGCAATGAGCACGGCCCCGCGGGCCGCAGCAAACTCGACGAGCTGGCGACACGAAGGGCCGAGGTGACCCTCTTCTACTGAGATGACCCCGGCCTTCCCAAGGCCACATCGCGCCCAGCCGAAGACCGAGGAACTCGTGGTCAATCCACCGCTGGATGAAGCTCCCCCCCCCTCGCGTCCCCCCCCCGTCCCTCCCTCGCCACGTCGAGCGGGTAGCAAGGGTTATTTTGACCATACTTCACCAGGCTGGGCAGTGCGGGTTTAAAGGCGGTGTACCACGACACGTTACGGCACTTGGCCGCAGCCTATAGCACCTGGTTTGCACGGCGGTCAGCCATATCGCTTTGGTAGCCAGGCCCAAGCTTGCTTAGCTTGCGAGACGCGACGAGCGCTGGCGATTCGGCCATGTGCGTTGCAGGAACGTCACCCACGGTTCTGTTCCGTCCGATCGCTTTTTTTTTCCAAACAAACGTTCCGTCGATTTTAACGGCCGCGGCGATGCTGAACAAATATCAATGCGTAGCGTCGACGGCGTTGTGGGTCTTGGGTGGCTCCGTGGGGAGACGGAGCGGATTCACGCCCGGAGCCGCAACGCCCGCACCCCCAAGCATCTCGCAACAGCGCTCCCACTTAAATCCGTCCGGCGCACATCCCTCGCGATCTTCTCAGTCGCCTTTTTTTCATTCTACATGCTCGTCTCCGCCGTACCATCTCGTCCGAAGCGTTCCTTCATTTCTCTCGCACTGTCACCAACTGTGTGCGCCTGCTGGGCGCACAACGCAATCTGCAGCCCCGTTCAGACGACCGCCAATCTCCTGGGATTCGGTGCAGCGGTGGCTGGGAGATGTTAACTCCCTCGCCTGGTACGCAGGAGGTCTTGGGTTCGGATCCCGACCCTGACTGCCTGCTGTGTATTTGGAGTTTGCATGTTCTGTGGTCGCGTGGATCAAGATGGGTCCTATAGTTTTTAGAAACATGCGTTTAAGGGTATGTGACTGCGATACATTTCCACAAGCCACTTCTTTGAGCTGTCATTTGTAGAAAGGTCGCTTCTGAAAAAGCGCTAATTAAGCTCTGCAGCCCTGACCTGGTAAAATCAAATTTAAAAAAACACATCGGGGCCATGTTAGACGGGCAGACCCCGCCGCACACACACCACGTGGTCGTGGTGTCGTGTTCCACTCACGCGGCACTGGGGGGGGGGGGGGGGCAGCAGCAGCAGCGCTGAACGCAAGTCGGGCGACGCGAGGAGGCGGCCGGGTGGTGGCGCTGCAGCCGCGCACATGGCGCCGATCAAGCGCTGGAGGGGGGGGGGAGGCAAGGGGGGAGGGGGGGAAGGGGGGAGGGGGGGCAGCTGCGGCGAGGGTTGGTGGATCACCGCAACATGCTGAGACGAGCTTCCCGTGGGACGTCGAGGTGCCATGAGGCCAAAGACGGCGGTGCAGCGAAAGTGCAGGCGCCACCTGCCCCGACTGCAAATGAGATTACGCGGTTTTCTTTTATCCAGGTGCTGATTTTGAAAAAAACACACGTCATTGTCAGAAATAAAAGGTACCTTAAAGACAATCTTAATATAATCATAGGACTGCAGAGCTTTGGGCAGTTTGTAGTCGCTTCCTTCCAGCTTGTCAGTGTTGGCTCGGGTTGTTGACACATCCGGCTTCATTGCTGGCGACATAAACACCACACGTAAACACCACACGTAAGCGCCACACGTAGACACCACACGTAGACACCACACGTTTTAGTTGCAACGAAAAATCGTATCTTCAAATAGTTTCTTGCTGAAGGATCTGTATAGGCCCTGCACCAGGTACAACTTCAAAACGCCAGGGGCAAAGCCACTGCGGCCGGGCAATGTGAACCACGTGACTGTGCTGGTGCCGGGCAGCAGTGGGCACCAGGGGCGCCTGGGGATCGTCACGTGGCAGGGAACCGCAGCACCGCGACAGACTCCGGTCCGAGTGGGGCTGGAGGAGGAACAGCTGACGGACAGACGCACCGTGCAAATAGCATCGCACGAGTGACGGTGTTAGACACCGTTCAACGCTCCCATTATGACATCAATCAGTATGTACAATGCAGTTGTAACGCATGCCACACAAGAAAGCGTCACGACCACTTCCACAAGCCGACGATCATACCGCGTGCTCTGGGTCCGAGACTCTGCCGTGCCGCGAGCGCTGACATCGCCGCATTAAAACGCAGCTCGCGTTGAGCAGTTCTAGCAAATGTTTCTAAATTTAAATACTTTGCGCCTTAGTGATGTTCGCCTCTTGGCGTCCTCTGCTCTCACACCGGTGGAGAGACAAAGCCATAAAACGGAGGCCGTTTCCGCTGCAGGCCAATAAAAGTCTCAAGGACAACGCTCACATTGTCTAAGCGCGTGTGTTTTGCATATTTCGCCACGAGTGCCAATGCGATGGGTGTCCATTTGATGTTGTATCCGAAACCGAAACACCTCCTCCTGCAATTATTGCCGCGAAGGCCATGCCCTTTCGAAAGCAGTCGCCATGAAAAACAACGCATCGAACAAGTTTGTGGGGGTTATCGATTTAGCGGAGACATTGTAAAATATATTGCACACAACACATTAAACGTTCAAATTGAGTGCGTTCGAAGGTGCGTGTGGGGCATGCCAGGCGTTGAATCCCTGCCCTTGGCTGGTATCCACATCTGTAAATATTCTAGAGCGCGGAGCGGGTGCCCGAATCCTGGAGTTGAGCCACTACAGACCGGTTCTTTACGAGCAACAGCCGTCGTGTCGACCAAAGGGCTTACCCGAGTCAAGGAAAGGACACGGACACCATGCAGCAAGGTGCCCGTCAGAGCAATCAAACCAAATGAGTCGTTGTTCAGACCATCGTTGCACCACCACCCAACAATACAAACACACCGCGAGAAGCTTTGGACTTCAGTCCACGTTAAAGACACGAGCGCAAAGCATGGCATTGGACATTCCCAGGGGTGGGGTGATCTAGGCCCTACAGGTTGGGGTCCCAGATGCCGCCCGTGCACCCAGCGTTGTGCAGGCCACTGGGAGTCAATGGAAAGGCGGTCACGGATTGCGGCTTGGTGGACTCTGGAACTGTGCGACAGATGGAGCTTTTACCAAGTGGGGTTACTGGACAAATCTAGAGTTGCTGGACAGGTTTCCCTCCACTAGCGAGGCGCCGCCACACGGCAGCTGCTGCTGTTGCTGCTGCAGCTGCCATCGACACCTCTTTGTGATGTCATGCGGGCAGCGCGCACGGGCAGAGGGCCCCGTCACCACGACGAGGTGCACACCGCTCCACCGTGAACCTGCCGCGGCTCCCTCGACCCCCCCCCCCCTCGACCCCCCCCCCCCGACCCCCCCCCCTCTCGACCCCACACCCTTCGACCCCACCCCCCTCGACCCCCCCCTCGACCCCCCCCCCCCGACCCCCCCCTCGACCCCCCCCCCCCCGACCCCCCCCGACCCCCCCCCCCTCGACCCCCCCCCCTCTCGAACCCCACACCCTTCGACCCCCCCCCCCTCGACCCCACACCCCTCGACCCCCCCCCTCGACCCCCCCCCTCGACCCCACACCCCTCGACCCCCCCCCTCGACCCCCCCCCCCTCGACCCCCCCCTCGACCCTACACCCCTCGACCCCCCCCCTCGACCCCCCCCCCCTCGACCCCCCCCTCGACCCCACACCCCTCGACCCCCCCTCGACCCTACACCCCTCGACCCCCCCCCTCGACCCCCACACCCCTCGACCCCCCCCCTCGACCCCCCCCCCCCTCGACCCTACACCCCTCGACCCCCCCCCTCGACCCCCCCCCCCTCGACCCCCCCCTCGACCCTACACCCCTCGACCCCCCCCTCGACCCTACACCCCTCGACCCCCCCCCTCGACCCCACACCCCTCGACCCCCCCCCTCGACCCCACACCCCTCGACCCCCCCCCTCGACCCCCCCCCCCCTCGACCCTACACCCCTCGACCCCCCCCCCTCGACCCCCCCCCCCCTCGACCCCCCCCTCGACCCCACACCCCTCGACTCCCCCCCCCCTCGACCCTACACCCCTCGACCCCCCCCCTCGACCCCACACCCCTCGACCCCCCCCCTCGACCCCCCCCCTCGAACCCTACACCCCTCGACCCCCCCCCTCGACCCCACACCCCTCGACCCCCCCCCTCGACCCCCCCCCCCCCTCGACCCTACAACCCCTCGACCCCCCCCCCTCGACCCCCCCCCCCTCGACCCCCCCTCGACCCTACACCCCTCGACCCCCCCCTCGACCCCACACCCCTCGACTCCCCCCCCCCTCGACCCTACACCCCTCGACCCCCCCCCCTCGACCCCCCCCCTCGACCCTACACCCCTCGACCCCCCCCCTCGACCCCACACCCCTCGACCCCCCCCCCTCGACCCCCCCCCCCTCGACCCTACACCCCTCGACCCCCCCCCTCGACCCCACACCCCTCGACCCCCCCCCCTCGACCCCCCCCCCCCTCGACCCTACACCCCTCGACCCCCCCCCTCGACCCCCCCCCCTCGACCCCCCCCTCGACCCCACACCCCTCGACTCCCCCCCCCCCTCGACCCTACACCCCTCGACCCCCCCCCTCGACCCCACACCCCCCCCCCTCGACCCCCCCCTCGACCCCCCCCTCGACCCCCCCTAATGAGATGATCGGAGATTAGATGTAATTGGTGATTGGCCCGGTGCGCACGTGGCGGCAATGGAACAATGGATGGTCACGTGGTAATGTTGTGAAACTGCCTTCCCGTGGGCTGCGAGGAGGAGCCGCACCGAGGCTCAATCTGTCCGTTCTGTGGGATAGAGAAGCGCTCTTCACCGTCGCCGATAAGACACCATCGGTGCGAGGGCAGCCACACGTTTGAAACCATCGGGGGTTTGACAGCAGCACGATGACGCCGATGACGATGATGGGGTTGTGTTTTCACCATCTGTGTATTGTCAGGGACTGCACTAGAGGCCACCAGGCGCCGCCAGTGGCCCTGGGCCTTGCAATGAAGAACACCGGGATAGAGTGCTGCCCCCCATCGCACGCGTGGGACATGGGCCCGCGTCGGCTGTTCCCTCACTATGTAGTCCAGCAATGTTCTTGCTTGGACCCGGCATGCATCAATGATGTTGTGTGGATGCGCCGATGACAGAACACAAATCTAGAACTGGAATAGCGTGTTGGTAATTACAAGCCCATCGGCTGCGCAAAAATCTAGAAGCTTCCTGCCGTTATTATCGAGCTGATCTGGCCCATACCTTCCAATCACTCCAGACCAGGTGCCAGCATCATGACCAACTCAGGCATTGAAGTCACCCAACAAGATGACTATCCAGAGGGACCACTTTAGCTAGCACCTGTGACAGGTCATAGAAGGCATCTGACTCGTCAGCCTTCTCTGCATCCCTCCACGGATGTTCGTCTTCAGTGGGGGCATAAGGAACCACGACAACCACTCCTCGCCTCTGGTTGATGGGAAGGCGAGCCAAAAGTAGCCTGAGGCTTAAAGCTTCCTACACCTCACTGCCACTCTCCCTTCATTCTTTTGTTCAGAAGAAGAGCCACACCCTGTTGCTTGGCAGTCTCCTGCCCCGAGTAGAGGGCTGTCCACCCCTCATGGTGGCAGAAGCCAGAACCGGTCCACCGGACCTCCTGAATGCCACAGAGATCCAGGCGGTACCAGTCCAGCTCCCGACAGAGGAGTGGCAGCCTCTCCTCCGCAATGAGCGTTCGAACATTCCACGTGGCCATACGCAGTGATTTTTTTGTTGTTTCTGGAGGAGCCCCGAGGGTAAGGATCCACCAATTGGGGTTTGGCCAGGAGACGTCATAGATGCCTTTTCCCCAGCACAAGCTTATTAATTACATTTTTCGACGTGGTTTAGCGCTCACACACTCACTCACCCTGCACAACAGGGCAACAACACACACAACCCAGGCAGAGAAGGCGGCCTAGTCGGGAAGCCATGCTCCCCCAGCGGCCCTGCCGCCCATCCCATGGCGATGCATGAGCCCAGGAAGTGCGACACAAGAAGACACGAAGCCGGTGTGTGTTGGTTCTATACACCTAGGAGATGTTTACTTCGACACGGGCACACACACACACACGTCATCTTTGTAAACACTGGCAGAATAATTACACGGATCTCGTATTTACAATCGGGTTTTCGTGCCTCTCTCACGACACAAGCGCACTCTACACTGGAGGGGGGGGGGGGGGGTAGGCCATCAACAAGCCAGCGCGTCACGTTCACGAGTTACACGCCGCACGCACCCGATGATTGTTAAACCACCTGCCCACGTGCAGCACGGAGCGCCGTTTCTAATGGAGGTCTAGTTGTGTGTGTGTACGTGGGTGTTAGAGTGACCTATATATATAGACATTAAAAAAAATAAAGTGTTAATGTTATTCTGTTGTAGGTGTGTTTGTGGGTGCAGTCATCATTAGAATGTGTGCCCGTGCGTGCCAGCCTTCATTGGATGCTCGCCAACAGCACTTGACCCAACAGGTCTGTGAAGGCTGTACGGGGGATCTTTGTCTTGGACGCACGGTATCGTCGCGCTCTTGGCTTGAACACGCGCACTCGCTCACATCTCACACGTGGGACACGTTTAATAATCATCATCGGGCGCGCGCAGCTCGTACACACTTTTTTGTTTTTACACTTTTAAACGGAGAGCGGGTGAACACTGAAGAGGCGGTCGCGAGGTGGGGGTCGGCGGGTGGCGAGGGCTGGAGGCGAGGGAATAATCCTTGGACGTGACCAGACTGTTGCGCACGGGATGGACACACGAAGCGTGCGCCACAAAGACCCTCCTCCGTGTCGCCGCTAACAGACTGCGGGGGGGGCAAGTGCTCTTAGCGAGTACTTGTTAAGGCCGGAACGGCACACGAGGGGGTGGGGGGCCATCACCACGCCCGACCGCCTTTGTCTCCCCAGTGCTTATATTTACACATCAGGTACTCAATTAAAAGGCCGAGTCGACCTATGGGAGGCCCAGGACTGGTTCGGATCATCGCCACTGATGTTTGCCGTGAGCGGGAATCGAACTGGAGTCGCCCGGGTTCTGTAGTGCAGCGTGCTAACCGTTGCACCACCACTCCCCAGACATGTGCCACGTGGCACACACAATAACACCACGTGGCACACACAACACCACGTGACACACACAACAACACCACGTGGCACACACAACAACACGTGGCACACAACGTGGCACAAACACAACATCCCAACCACCACGAAGGGTCAGGGTACAGGGGGTCAGGGTACGGGGTCAGGGTACGGGGGTCAGGGTACGGGGTCAGGGTACCGGGGTCAGGGTACGGGGGTCAGGGTACGGGGGCGCTATAGGACCTCGTGCCACCGCATGGGCTCGGGATGGAGGCAAACCGAGCACCAATGTCTCCTCTCTGACTCGACAAGGAGAATCGGCATCTCCATGGGGACACGACGGTGTAGGCCGAGGAGGTATGGTAGGGCCATTCACGAGGCGGCCTTTCGCTTGGCACTCAAAACACGTGGGGGGGGGGGGGGGGTTCGACACCGCCCCCTCGGGTTACAAGCTGCACCTCCTTCCAAGCAACCAATGACGTGGGAGTTACTGTCGACGTTGGGCACGTGGTCACAATGGAGCTCTAGGACTGTGTACTGCGATTGGCAGGTGGCTTAGACCTTTTCACAGATACACAAAAATCCCCCCAACAGCCTGAACAGACTGTTGGGGGGAAGTGCTGTTATCGAGCACCTATGGAGGCCGGCACGGCACACGAAGGGGTAGGTGGCCAGCACCACACTCGGCCGGCCTTTGTCTCCCCGGTGGCGATGTTTACACACCGGACCGGGTACTCATTTGAGGTTGAGTTGACCTAAGGAGAGGTCCAGGACCGGTTAAAATAATCGTCACTGGTGTTGGTGGCCGTGAGCATGAATCAAACTCGGGTTCGCCGGGTTCGTAGCGCAGCGTAGCGCTAACCGCCGCGCTACCGCTACCCACACACACACACAGAGACACACGCAAACATGCGTACAAAGACATCAATGTGCCGACTATTGAGACACGTGAGCAAACGGATACCAGACGGACACAGGGAGGGGCCGAGGCGGACGGGCGTTGCCGCGCGGCGAGCGCAAGAGCAGCGTCGATCTTCGCGCGACGAGCGGCAACAACCACGAAGCTGTGCAAATCGCGAGGGGCGGCGTCCGGGAATGGGACTAGACTCAGAGGTATACAGGGTGTGGTGGTGAACCACTCGCACTAGAAGTCTTATTCAAGTTTTTAAATCACTTTAACAATAGTTATTATTCATATTATATTCTCTCTTTATTTTGTTTTCCCCTATCCATAATTCATTTAAGCTACTTAAAAAATAAATTCTTTAAAACCCCGCGTTTTTTTGTTTGTCGTTCGATCGTTTTGCTAGACGCGCTCCGCTTCGTCGTGAACCACACCTTGAACTGACGTTGAACCGACGTTAAAAAGAACAACAAAACATACCGACATTCAAACGCGGGTCCGTGTCTGCGATAAATAGCGGTGACGGCGGTTAGTACGTACAAAACGCAAACGGCAAATAAGTTACGAGCAACGGCTATTTACACGAGCGTGCTATGTACAGGGTACAGGGAGAGGGGGGGCCACTCCGGTGTCTGGCAGGGGGGCACCCAGGTGAGGGGTGGGGTGGGGTGGGGTGGGGGGATTCATAGCCCCCTCCCCCCAAATCAACTCGACCCACCACAGCTCAGCCGATTACGATAAAAACCACGCGACTCTGCGACACGCAAAGTCCGCGTGGTCGCGACGTCGCGATGGCTCGCGCCCCCTCCCCCCGGACCCCCACCCAGACAACGAGGCCCAGGACTGGGCCCTGCGTGGAGGCGGGAGGGGAGGGGGGGGTGGCGGCACCTCTCCGGTATCGGGCCGGAGGCGACGGCCGCGGGGGCGCCGCCTCGGAATTGCGGAGAAGGGCGGGGATGGCGCTGGTGGCGGCCGGGCCCGAGGGTGCGGGTGGGCGTCGAGGAGGCTCACACCCGCGAGTCCCCGTTGCCCTCGCTGAGGTGGTTCAGCTCGTCGGTGGGCGCCGCCTTGGCGCCGCCGGCCTTGTCGCGGAATCCCGACGCGATGTCGTCAAAGGTGCGGCCCTTCGTCTCGGGCACTTTGAAGTAGGTGAAGACGAAGAAGAAGACGAGGAAGCAGGTGAACACCACGAACACGTAGCTCCCCAGCAGCTCCTGCGGTGGCAGAGAGGAAGGGGGAGGGGGGAGGGAGACGGGGCCGTTATCACCACGCACGTCGCCACCACCGGCACGGTATCGCGGGATAAAACCCGCAGCGACCTGCTGCTCGCAAGCTCTCCCGGGGGGGTCTATCAGGCCTGCGGTGGGCGACACTCATCCCGCCGAGACGAGGGGTGGAGGAGGGCGGCTCGTCTGGGCTGCCAACCCCCTCCCGAATGCGGGAAACCCCGACAGCGGCCGACTATGCCAATGACGTCACCGGGCTCCGCCCGCCACCTCCCGTCCAGCGGCACACTTCGGAGAACAGAGGCGAGGGGGGCGTCTTCCCCACGACCATTTCCACCTCATCAGATTACTCTCAACGCAATCCGCTCGCTCTCACTCGTGGCTCTCCCCGCCGCTGCCCACACCACCTCCTCGCAACTCCACCGGATCCCCCCCTGCGCCACCCTCCCCCCTCCCCCCTGCCCCTCCCCCCTGCCCCACCCCCCCCCCCGGCACGGCGCGTGGGCCCACCTGCACGTATGGGAAGCACATGGCCACGAGGAAGTTGGACGTCCAGTTGGAGAAGCCGGCGACGGCGACGGCCGCGGGCCGCGGGCCCTGGCTGAAGAGCTCCGAGACGATGAACCACGGGATGGGGCCCGGCCCGATCTCGAAGAACGCCACGAAGCCGAAGATGGCCACGATGCTCACGTAGTTCATCCACGACGCGCTCGCCTGATTGGTCCATCGGGGGTGGGGGGGGGGGCACGGAGAGATCAGCGAGGTGCGGTCAGCCACGGTGTGCGTTTGTTTTTGTGACGAAACACTTGCCCGGCCGGATTACCCACAGTTCCGAGGCCTTGTTGCGGAGGCACGGGCTGCACCATCGGTACCGCCCCCACAACCCCTTCCCCCCCTCCACCTGGTGTGCTGCGTGGTGCGGTGCTGTGTGTTGCGGTGTGCAGTGCGTGGTGCGGTGCGGTGTGTTGTGTGTTGCGGTGCGGTGCGCGGTGCAAGACGACGGCTCCCTCACCTGCAGGACGAGCGACAACGTCATGGCGACGCTGCACGCGGCCATGCCGGCCAGGCCAACGAGGTGCAGCGAGCGACGGCCCGCACGCTCCACCAGGAACAGCTTAGCGACGCACGCACACACAAACGCGGAGACACAGACGGAGGGGGGGGGGGGGGGGACACGGTGTCAGAGCCGTCGCAGGGGAACTCGCGCCGCGTCGTCGCTCACGCCGAGTGGGAGATGCGAACCCCAACGAAAAGCTGGGGACAGAAACCACGCCAGCACGCGGCCGTGCAACGCTAGGCAACGCTAGGCCACGCTAGGCCACGCTTCCACCGGTTTGGTCCGGTTATCGAGAGGGTAGGTTAGGGAGTCTCTCCCCAATAGGCGCACAACGTCACAGCGCTGCGCAGCTCGTCGCACCGGCTCCACGCTCCACAAGTTACTGCGGGAGCCCCGTTACTCCGTCTCGGCAGGTTCGACCGACGGCTTAATTCTCGCGGCGAGCGCCGCTGGATTATCGCTGGGCGAGTGTGGCTGTGCGTGGTTGGTGGTGGTGGTGGTGACTCACCGAGACCACGGTGAAGGCGACGTTGACGATGCCGGCGCCGATGGTGGCGTAGACCGGCTGCGACACGCCGGCATTCTTGAAGATCCCCGTCGAGTAGTAGAAGATCTGGGAGGGGAGGGAAGGAGCGCGTCAGCACCACCGTCACCATCACCATCATCGTCACCACCACCACCACAGAACACCGCCCGACATGACCGCCACGGTTGCCACGGCCACAGCCATCACCACCACCACCACCACCAACCGCCACACCGCCACTCACCGCGTTGATGCCGGACAGCTGCTGCGAGAGCTGCAGCATGACGGCGACGATGATGGCCTGCCGGTAGTCGATGCTGCGGAAGAGGTCGGGGATCGCGACCTTGGGCACCTGCTCCATGCGCCGGTGCTCCTCGCGCATCTCGCGCATGTCGTCGTTCACGTCCGTCGTGCCGCGCAGCTTCACCAGCGCTGCACGCGCCACACGCAACACGCGGCGTTAACGCACGTGCACGCCACGCACATGCAACCAGCACGCCACTCGCACGCGACAAGCACGCCGCGCACACGCGACAAGCGCGTGGCGCTAACGCCATGTGCACGCCACATGCACGCGAGCGAGCAAGCGAGCGCCCAGCCACCAAGCACCGTGAACTAAAGTCGCCACATTTCTGGTCGGCTCAACGAGGATAGATGGCGAGCTGCCAGTGCCTCCCTCCGTGGGCCTGATGCAGTGGCTGGTGAGGCTAGTGAGGCAGGTAACTGAGGGAGCGACCGGCCGGTCAGTCAGGCGACCGGCCGGTGAGGAGTCAGACGACCGGGGGAGCGCGCCTGGCCGTGCCCGGGGTGCGCCGCCGCTCACCGTCGCGCGCCTCGTTCTCCTTCTGCTTGTTGATGAGCAGGAAGCGCGGGCTCTTGGGGCAGAAGAAGAGGGCGACCGCCTGCACCACGGCCGGCACCACGGTGAGGCCCAGCAGCAGCGGCCACTGCTGCGCCGTGCCCAGCAGCGATTCCAGACCCAGCACCTGCGGCGGAGGAGCGGAGGGGAGGGGGGGCGGAGGAGGGGTCAGCGCTGCCGTACGTCGAGGTCGCGCGTCGGGTCAAAAGGTCGAGTCGGCGGTTTGGAGGTCGCGTCGCAGAGGCCGGGTCGCAACACCGAGCCGGAACATCGCGGCATCGGGCGGGGTCGCGGGGTCGCTGTCAGGGGGATGGAATCGGGGTGATGGGGTCGTGGCGGGTTACCTGTGCCACCAGGATGCCGATGACGAGGCTGAGCTGGTGCAGGGTGCCCATGGCGCCACGCAGGGACGTGGGAGAGATCTCCCCCACGTACATCGGCACGAAGCCCGACAAGAGGCCTGCGCACGGGGGAGGGGCGGGGACATGGGGAAGCACACTCAGTACCGCTATTCTAACCCGCAGCCCGCACCGCGCAGAGCCGGGGAGAGAAGAGAATCGACAACAATTTAGAGCGCCGCGTGTTCAGAGGAGAGCCGCCGTGACTTCCGTGCGCTGCGCGTGCACCGCGCACGGCGCCTCACGAGGGGGCGCTGCAGCCCCAGCCTTAAGGCATCGACTTTGAGTGGCCAGGCGAGGGGACCAGACCGTGAGACTGGATCTATTGTGGCGCTGGCGACACGTGTCCCACCCCGTGTTCCCCCCGTGTCCCCCCGATCTCCCCCCGCGTCCCCCCCGCGTCCCCCCCGCGTCCCCCCCGCGTCCCCCCCACGTCTCCCGTGTGTCCACCTGTGTCCCCCGTGCGTCTCCGCAGTGCGTCTCCGCTCACCACAGTGGACGCCGATGATGAACCTGCCGACGATGAGCAGCTCGAAGGAGCTGGCCAGCTTGGTGAACGCCATGCACACGCCGCCGATCACGGCCAGGATGTTGTTGACAAGCATCGAGTTCCTCCTGTGGCGGGGTGGGGGGGGGGGGCACACGGAGAGGGGGATGACGACGCGCGGTCGTGCATGCGCAGCACCCCTGAAGACTGCTGGGGCAAGTGCTGCCCGCGAGCGCCTACGAAGGTCGGCACGGCATCACGAGGGAATGGGTGGCCAGCACCACGCCCGGCCGCCTCTGTTTCCCGAGTGCCGGTGTTTACACGTCGCGCCAGGTACTCGTCGGAGGCAAAGTTAGCCTAGGGGAGCCTCAGGACTGGTTCGGATGATCGCCATCATTATCGGTCGCGAGCGGCAAATCGCTGACCACTACACGACCGCTCCCCGTGAAAACACTTGCTCACACTCACATGTGCACACGCTCACACTCACGCTCACACACACGGTCTCACACACACACTCGTGCTCACCTGCCGAATCTGTTGACAAAGAGCCCCACGGAGAAGGCCCCGATCATGCCGCCGACAGTGAAGATAGCCACGGTGGACGACCACAGCGTGGTGAGCGTCGACTTCTCAACGGCATTGCCGTAGCGCTCGATCCACGTCTCGTTAAAAAACGACTGGATGATCTGTTTGCCGACATGGAGGGGGAAGAAGGGGTCACTCCTCGCGCCATGGAAAGGTGGAATTTCCACCACGAACTCACAGCTCCTCCCCTCGCTCGAGACGCTCTCCGTTTAGTGTCATCGTAACGATGTTGGCGATGCGGTGGTGACGATGGTGCGCCGACTCGCCTGCTCGGGCGCGTTGATCACGCCGATGTTGTACCCGAACGAGAAGGAGCCCAGCACCGCCACGATCACCGAGAACACCAGCACAGGCGTCATTCGTGCCTACTCGCACACACAGGTGGGGGGGGGCAAGGGCACACGAGGACGTTCATTATAGCGACGGCTCGCACGGGGACCGACTCGCGAGCGTGCGGGAGCCAGCGCGGGGCCATCGCGGCGCGGGTTCACGGGTTTTTTTTCCACTCCCAGCGGCAGGGGGCTACCGAGACGTGCACTGCGGGCGACGTCGCTCCGTCTCCCTTCATTGGCCGGTGAGGGGTGCGGGTGGGTGGAGTGGAGAGCGGTGGCGCAGCGGTTAGCACGCTGCGCTACGAACCCGGCGACCCGAGTTCGATTCCCGCTCACGGCCAACAACGGTGACGATTAATTCCACCAGTCCTGGGGCCTCCCCTAGGTCGACTCGGCCACAAATTAGTACCTGGTACCACATTGTGTGCCGTGCAGGCCTTCACAAGTACTCGCAAACAGCACTTGCCCCAAAAGTCTGTTAAGGCTTTACAGGGGAGCTTTGTTTTTGGTTGGGCGTGGATGTTGGGGTGTCACAGTGGGCAGCACAGCCGGTGCCCATCTGGGGGTCATCTCAAGGTCGGGTCAACCCGTGACGCCTGCGGTTCTGGCGCCGCGGCCTTTCCCGTCAGCCAGCGAGCCTATCCACGCTTCGCACGGACGGCCTCAAAGCGCACCTAGCCTGGCACAGGCATTACTGCAGACATCGACGTCACGTAGCGGCGAACGGGGGGGGGGGGGGCTGTTGGAAGCGGAGGGCTGCGATTGCGATGTCGTTTGTCTACCGCCCCACGTAGAGCCTCGTCACAACCCAGCGCAGCAGAAGGGTCCAGGCACGTCGGGAAGGGTTTGGCCACGAATTCCATGGTACGGAGAGTTGTGGGGGGCTCCGTGTGGACGGAGAACACCGGAGACACCCCAGCAGCGTGCACGCGAGGAGGCATCGACACCGACACCATCAACCCACTTGACTGTGCCACCTCGTGGCTCGCGCCTGCGTCAAGCAAGGCGCGCCACATCCACAGGTGGCCGGCCGGCTGCTCACTGCGTGGCCACGCAGTGACGGCGCTCATCACAGGCAGGGCGCGGTGATGCGCTCACACGAACAAAGACGCCCCCTGTATAGCCTGAACAGACTGCTAGGGGCAAGTGCTGTTCGCGTGTAGCAGCACCTACGAAGGCCGGCACGGCACACGAGGGGGTGGGTGGCCAGCACCAGGCCCGGCCGCATTTATCTCCCCAGTGGCGATTTTTATACACCACACTAGGTTCTCTGCATGCACGCATGCGCAGAGAGATAAGAATGCTCACACGTACACCACACGGTGCATACGTTCACTCACACGCTGACAATCTAGCCCACGTACTCTCACATGCACGCATGCGCACGCGAGTGAGCGTGCGTGCAGCGGCTGCGATGCGCAAATTCGTTTAACCTTGAAGAGACAGCCGGAAACGGAGCGTGCCGACTGCTGCTGCTGCAATTCCCCTCGCACCAACACGAAACCCTCAGACCAACCCAAACCTCCTCCTCCTCCTCACGCAGCCCTTGGCCACTCCACTGCTGGACGCATGGATGAAGGCCTGTGCTCTCACTCCCCACGGGTCGCGCCGCCGGTTTGACCTCGCCACTGGCCGCGCGCGCGGGAGGCAGTGGCAGAGCGAGCGTGGGGCCGGGAGTGAATGCCCCACGAGTCGTGGTGATGATGATGATGACGACACGGACGAACCTCTCCTGGACTGCGTGTGGTCACGGAGAGCCAGCGGGCGAGTTGCCAACTCGCTGCGATGTTCACATCACGGCCGATGCGATGATGATGATGGTGGTTTTGTTGAGTGACGGTGCCAATGAGTGCCGTGTCACCGCAGTGCAACAGCAACTGGCCACAATCAACAATCTCGCACGGGAGCTGGGTGCGTGCCGACAACATGAGGTCGGGAGACAAAGGCGGCCGAGCCGGTGTACCCATCCACACACACGAATTGTTGAAGCACGCAGAGAGGAGGAGGAGCCTCCATGGCACCCACGACTTTCCGATCGCAAGACGCGTCGCCACAAGTCCTCGGGGGTTTGCTCCCCCCCTGCCACCCGCACCACCACCACCCAGCACCACCACCACCACCAGCACCACCACCACCACCACCCAGCACCACCACCACCACCCAGCACCACCACCACCACCAGCACCACCACCACCCAGCACCACCACCACCCCCCCACAGCCATCACAACCACCACCCAGCACCACCACCACCCAGCACCACCACCACCCCACAGCCATCACAACCACCACCCAGCACCACCACCACCCGCACCACCACCACCCAGCACCACCACCCCACAACCATCACAACCACCACCCAGCACCACCACCACCCAGCACCACCACCACCCAGCACCACCCGCACCACTACCACCCCACCACCACCCGCACCACCACCACCACCACCACCCCACAGCCATCACCACCACCACCCAGCACCACCCGCACCACCACCACCCCACCACCACCCGCACCACCACCACCACCACCCCACAGCCATCACCACCACCACCCAGCACCACCCGCACCACCACCACCACCACCCCACCACCACCCGCACCACCAGCACCACCCAGCACCACCCAGCACCCGCACCACCACCACCCCACAGCCATCACCACCACCACCCAGCACCACCACCACCCAGCACCACCACCACCCTACAGCCATCACAACCACCCAGCACCACCACCAGGAACCAGCACCACCACCACACCACCCAGCACCACCACCACCCAGCACCCACACAACCATCCAGCACCACCACCACTACCAGCACCCTACAGCCATCACAACCACCACGACCACCCCACCAGCACCACCAGGACCCCACAGACACCACCACCACCCAGCACCACCACCACCATCCACCACCACCACATCTATCACCCCGACCCACCCCGGGACCCGCGCGCCCCGCGCTCTGCCGAGGGTATCGACTCTGGTTCGATGGGGGTAGTGGGGGTGGTGGTTCGATGGGGGTAGTGGGGATGGTGGTGGTTCGATGGGGGTAGTGGGGGTGGTGGTTCGATGTGGGTAGTGGGGATGGTGGTTCGATGGGGGTAGTGGTGGGGGTGGTGGTTCGATGGGGGTAGTGGTGGGGGTGGTGGTTCGATGGGGGTGGTGGGGGTGGTGGTTCGATGGGGGTAGTGGGGGTGGTGGTGCGATGGGGGTAGTGGGGGTGGTGGTGCGATGGGGGTAGTGGGGGTGGTGGTTCGATGGGGGTGGTGGGGGTGGTGGTTCGATGGGGGTAGTGGTGGTGGTGGTTCGATGGGGGTAGTGGGGGTGGTGGTTTGATGTGGGTAGTGGGGGTGGTGGTTCGATGGGGGTAGTGGGGGTGGTGGTTTGATGTGGGTAGTGGGGGTGGTTCGATGGGGGTAGTGGGGGTGGTGGTGCGATGGGGGTAGTGGGGGTGGTGGTGCGATGGGGGTAGTGGTGGTGCGATGGGGGTAGTGGTGATGGTGGTGCGATGGGGGTAATGGTGGTGCGATGGGGGTAGTGGTGGGGGTGGTGCGATGGGGGTAGTGGTGGTGGTGGTGGTGCGATGGGGGTAGTGGTGGGGGTGGTAGTGCGATGGGGGGTGGAGGCGATGCAGATGAAACGAGCCAATCGCGATGTGGCAGCGTCGCCACCACGAGGAGCCACCGACATCGCCCCGCGTGCCGCACAGAGACCCTGACCCCCCCGTGCCCCACTGCCGCTGCGCCAAGGGTGCCGAGTGGTTAGGGCCGAGTCTACCTAGGCGAGGCACGGGACGGGTGTCACGAATGCGCGCCAGCGCCTCCCGCAGGCGGTCCAAGTGTACAGTGCAGTGTACAGTGCGTTCAGACGACGTGGCGGGGCGCTGCCTCAATAATTAAACAACTCCCGGTGGTGACACCAACACCCACCCACCTCCACCCAGACCACCTCCACCTACCACCACCCACGTCCACCACCCAGACCACCTCCACCCACCACCCACCTCCACCTTCACCCACCTCCACCGTCATCCCCAACGCCGCAACAACCAACGAAGCACCACCCCTCCTTACACAACCCAAACACACAACCCAAGTCTTGCGTCACCACCCACACCACACCGCACACGCCACACACACACACTACACATGCCACATCACACCACACACACGAAACTACACACCACACACACTACACTACACACACCACACCACCACCCACCTTCTCTCCGGGCGACTCCATTTCGTTCGAGGGCGAGCGAGCTCTTGGCGAGGACTATGCGAGTTGTGTAACACGTGTAACACGTATAAGACGTGTGACACGTGTGAGCTGTGAGCTGTGCGAGTCGCCTCTTCTCCCCGCCGCTGATGGAGGACGCTGTTTGCTGCTCGACCAACTCTCGCCCCCGATACGACTCGAGCTCGAACCGCGCCAACTCAAAAACGTGAATGCGTAAAAATAATCTCTCTCTCAACAACAGCAGCAGCAGCCGACTGTTGCCGGGAATAATTATCGGCTACTAAATTTCTATTACGCTCACTGGTTGTTTATTGTTATTGTTGTTGTTATCGTTATACAAGCTGCGGGTGAAGACTAGACTAAATGTGCTGTGACGGAAACGAAGCGAGAGGATTTGGCAGGAGCCGAGTTTGGGCGAGAGTCGCTCCCCTGCCGCTTTATAGACGAGACGCTGCGGACACGTCACGTGCCAGACCCAACCTCCACGCGGTGCCACGTGACGACTCGTGCACACCCCCCTCCAGCCCCCCCCCCCTCCAGCCCCCCCCCCCCTCCAGCCCCCCCCCCCTCCAGCCCCCCCCCCCTCCAGCCCCCCCCCCTCCAGCCCCCCCCCCCCCTCCAGCCCCCCCTCCAGCCCCCCCCCCCTCCAGCCCCCCCCCCTCCAGCCCCCCCCCCTCCAGCCCGCCCCCCCTCCAGCCCCCCTCCCTCCCTCTCGACACGCCCCCTCGCTTGATCGCAGTCCAGCCCACCCCACCACCACCACCACCCCCTCTATTCAACAGCGTCATGCCCACACCACCACCACCAACCCCCACCCCCTCTATTCAACAGCGTCATGCCCACACCACCACCACCAACCTCTCTACTCAACATCGTGATGCCTACACCACCACCACCACCCCTCTATTCAACAGCGTCATGCCCACCCCACCACCACCAACCCCTCTCTATTCAACAACGTCCTGCCTACACCACCACCAACCCCTCTCTATTCAACAACAATGGGTAGCGATAGTGTAGCGGTTAGCGCGCTGCGTTATGAACCTAGCGACCTGGGTTCGATTCCCGCTCACGGCCACCAACACCATGAGGATCACCTGAACCCAGTCCTGCGCCGCGCCTAAGTCGACTCAGCCTCATATGAGTATATACGGTGCGATGTGTAACATTGCCGCGAGAGAGACAAAGGCGGCCGGGCGTGGTGCCGTGCCGGCATTCGTAGGTGCTCGCTAACAGCGCTTCCTCCTACAGTCCGTTCGGGCTACACAGGGGATCTTTGTGTGTGTGTGTGCGTGATCGTGCGTTCAGTGTGTGCGTGTGTGTCCGTGTCTAGGGAGCGGAGGCTCGTGAAGGACGGCCCCTGCTCGGCAGTTGGAGGGCAGAGGAGCGACGCTCACAACAACGAGCGGAGCGCAGGGCGGATAAAATACAGCAAGTTGGCACGATGGGCAGCACGGGTGGTGCATCTGGCAGTCATCTCAGTCGTTCGACCGATGGCCCCTGTATCTGTCCCGTGACTTGTCAGCGAGCCCTGACACTTCAGTCTAAGTGTGCCAGACTAGGTGCTCAAACGTGGAGACGTCAACCGCCATTTAGTAGCGAACGGCGATTGTTGTTGTTGTTGTGGGTAGCGGTAGCGTAGTGGTTAGCGCGCTGCGTTACAAACCAGGCGACCACGAAATCGTACCTCCCCTAGGTCGACTAAGCCCACATTTTTGTTTCACCTGATACGGTTGTGTAAACCGGGGAGACAAAGGCGGCCGGGCGTGGTTAGTGTTTGGTGATCGCCACACCGTCCAATCGATCCCGGCCTCTGCCTGCTCGCCAGGTGCTCGCCATCAGCTGATTCCCCAGCAGCTGTAACGGCTCTGCGCCGTGGGGGGCGGGGGGCCTCGTGCCCTTCGTCGTGGCCAGCGGACCTCGAGATTCGCGTTCGGCTCCCTGGACCAGGCAGCTGCTGCTGCTACTGCTGCTGCTACTGCTGCTACTGCTGCTGCTACTACTACTGCTGCTACTGCTGCTACTACTACTACTGCTGCTACTGCTGCTGCTACTGCTGCTGCTACTGCTGCTACTACTGCTGCTGCTACTGCGCCATCTCACGCGCGCGCCCCTATTGGACATTTGGGTAAATTATTCCCATCGCTCACCAGAGTCCGAACACAGATTCTGGATGTTGTTCTTCCGTACGGGCTGCTGGTGTAGACAGTGCCGGATTATCCCAGTAGCACAAGAAGCTGCATGTGCTACGGGCCCCGCACTTTCAAGGGCCCCGCGCCAAATGCTTTCAAGCTATCAATTCCGGTTCACTGATTCTGCACTTGCTCTATTACTATAGTACTATACCGCCTTCGACTTTTATGAACGATTGGGTGTTTAAGGTTAGCGATTTTTCGTATTATCTGGCTGTGTAGCAAATGAAAAAATACAATTACTTTACTATGCGAGTAAAAAATGTGTCTTTTAATATTGATGTGTGTTTTTTTTTTATTTAGGGCCGCTTTTTACCATCATATCATGCTACAGGCCCCGCACGAGCTTAATCCGGCACTGGATGTAGACGCGGAGCAACGACGACAATTTGACATTCAGGTGGTCAAGCCCCGACAACCGCGTCAGGAGTAGCGGAGTGTATCGCTGCAATGATGTCTCCTACTTCGTGTGTGTAGATGATCGGGGCATTGCGTCGTTATACGTTGCACGGTGTCTGTTCTGGATGACCGCAGTCGCACACCGGATTCCGATTATTGATTCCGAGAAGAAACTCGACTGCGTCAAAAGCTGCATCGAAGCATCAAACGCTCCGGAGACACTCGCCGCTATGTGAATGAGAACGCGAGATGCAGTCAACATGTTCTTATTAATACGGGGGGGGGGGGAGAGGAGGGTGGCGGAAGGGGGGTCCCTTCCATGCATATTTATACCAAGGTGTCATAATTGTTATAATCCTATGGGATTTCTTTCAGCTTTTTGCTATTGCTGCTACTTTTCAATATAATTGTCGGATTCCTCCAATCGGCAGTTATGACACACGGAGAACGTGGATGGCTGCGAGCACGCGACAGAGTTAATCTCCTGCCATGAACACAATTGTGACGCCTTCAAGTGTGATGTCGGTAACGGCACGGGCTGCTCTGTACCCCCGCGTGCATTGTGTGGCACTGCGAATTGTAAGCGAATTGCTTGAATCAAAACAATAACATTTACTGAGCTCGGGCAACAACAACAACAATGGCCTTTATCAATCGCTCGCTCCGCCCCTGAAATAATGATTATGATTGTTGCTTTACAAACGAGTGAAACAGGCGTGCGTGTTCAACAATGGCAATCCTTTATTGTGTCTCGACTCGAACGCGTGTCCTTTTTGCCGTAATTGTGTTCCAAACGTTCTCTAAGTTGGTGCAATCACCCCGAGTCGCGAGAGACCGCCCGCAGAAGCGGGTACCACAGAACTGCTTCTGAGACGCTGCTCAGCCACACTGGGGCCGCTGCACTTTCACACGCAGCCTGCTCGGCAGAAATGCCTGTCGCGTGGCAAGTCAAACTCACATTTTATTTTATTCTCAAAGCTGGAAGATTCTCCAATTTAAGCACACAAACAAACATAAAACAAATAAACAGTTTTTTTCGTGCAATCATCGGTGACTGAGAACCAGCCTCAATAAATTCGGTTTCATCACGGGTGACCGCAGCCGGATGTGAACCCCAATCACGAAGCAGCAGCAGCAGCATCGACGTCTCGAGTTGACACGGGGAAGGGGGAAGCGTTCGGTAAACACCGCCGCTCGCTGCATCGTGCATGGGACACAGGCAGGGAGGGATGGAGGGGAGGGAGGGAGGGATGGAGGGAGGGAGGGAGGAAGGGATGGAGGGAGGGAGGGGAGGGAGGGCCCTGCTAAGGCAGATGTAGGGGCCCAGGTGCCAGACCCCGGGCTAGCAGTGAAATTCTTGGGCCATGCGGCGACCTCTGCTTTCAAGGTATTGCGCGATCCTTATGCAATACGCGCGTGACGCCCATGGAGCCCACGCGCGTGTCTCATCGTACAAACTCCGGGTCAACGGCACGGGCCGTTACACAAACCTTACACGTGCGAGAAGACATCGATCGCTCTGATTATTTAAATTACAACTTTTATTTAATTCTCTTCATTCGGCCCGTCCTGAAGTCATTCGTTCAAAAATTAAAAGGTGAACGTCTGCAGCATTCTGTTAGTCCTGGTATCGAGTCGGATACATTGCGATGGAAGTCTAATTAATGTGTGATTGGGGTGGAGTGGTGGCACGGTCGTTGTTGGAACTTCGCGTTATGAACCTTGCGAGCCGAACCACGGCTAATATCAGTGGCGAGGCATACAAAGAAACATATTAGACGACGTTTCGGGCAATGGTCCTTATTTACAGCAACTAGAGAGTCCAGAGGGGTAGAGTGGACAAGAAGACTTCTAGACAGCACTTGGTATACCACTTTATATATTGATTGTACTTCATATCAAACCACATTAGGAAATAAACTCCTTAAAAAAGTTTTTAAAAAACAACGGTTTTATTCACAACTTCGTTGAACTCGCGGTCGAGAAGTCCGCCAATGATGCGGCCCCTGCTCCCACATCAACGATTACTTGAATTAATGGGTTACTTTATAAATTAATCTTCAATGTACAACGTTTGTTTGTGTGCAGTGAGGGTGCCCGTAACTCGTTCACACGGAGCAGGCGCGCCCGAGACGTCACGTGACGCCTGCTTCTTGGGCGAGGCGAACCGAGAGTTTAGGGACCGCGGCGTCTTTGATCTACACAAATATATATATATAAATAATAAGGCGTCCATACAAAATGTAAATTGTTTTAAAGTAGCGAATTCATTGATTATTTGATACCGATTTTGATACAGGCATGCATTGTCACCGGATCTGACAACAGGTAGGAGGTACAGGCGGACGGTCACTTCCAACGGAAGTGTGGGCAGCGCGTGAGAAAGACCCAAAAGCCGTCCGAATGAATCACGAAAATGTTCATGTTCGATTTACAGCCAGCACGTAACCACGTCCCGTCTGTCTGGATGTCATCATCGCTGACAGACAGCGGGCGGGCCGTGACCATTGAGCAGACGCGCACCCTCACGCCACGCGCGCCGTTATCACTCCGCACTCAGTCATCACCTTGGCTGGCACCGCATCCGTTTGGAGTTCATCGCACCCTCGTCATTTCCACCGTGCATCATTCCCACCGTGCATCATTCCCACCGTGCATCATTCCCACCGTGCGCTCGCGCGTGCTGATGTGCACGCTCGCGGCTCTCTTCCCCTGTTCCAGAGGGGTTTCCTCCCATAGCTAAAAGAAATACACACACACGTAGAATGTCACCGGTATTGCCTAAAGTTCTGAAAAATCAACTGACGTATTACCAAATTGGGATCCACAGACGAGTTTGT